GTGAATGGAAAACACTTTTTGTAGATTAAGCAACATAGTTCCCATTAATGGTTTTCTATACTTTGAACTTAAAGAGATTTTAATGCACTGTTCATTTGGTGCAGTTTCTGCTGAATTATTTAAAACACCTCCTTACTGCTTTAACTATGAACTTGCATTAGGAAGTACAATGCCAGTTAAGATTCCTCCATTGCCTCAAATGCTCTAAAAATAAATACAAGCTAAATCCCAACCATAAATACATTTCTCTCTTTATACTCTGACCTTCCTGTTATCCTAACCTTAGGCAAAAGACAGAAATGATACACGCAACTTGGCCGAGAGAGACAAGCCGGAAGATTGGGAAATTATGAAGGTAAGAAAAAAATTGAAGTTTGAAGGATGGCTTTTGGAAAGTGCTGGAGACACACGGAGTCTTCACCATATCTAGGTGGAAACCTCAGCATTTACGTAGACCAGTACAAGTTCTACCATCTCCAGAGTTATATAACATAAAATACAAACACAAGTTCTTAATTTACATAAAGTCAGAAGTTAAAGATGTTGGCTCAGTTGGCTGAGTTGAATCTAATTTACTGTGATAAACAGTCAGAAGTGAGAATGGAATACAATCCATAACTTTGGCCATGTTTCATTTGCCTGTTTTATTTTTGCAAAGCTGAGTGTTTCTCTTGGTCTCAGCAACCTTGCCCGAGGTGTCTCCCCACTCTCTTCCCATTGTGTGAAGATTTGCTATTGACCCTAAGCCTGCATCAGATAACTTGCTCCCAGTAGACCGAATCTGACTCCTGGTCCCCATACCACTTCTCGAACTCCAGGCCACTTCCACCTGGTGTGTCTGCTGCCTCCTGCCCCTTCCACTCTGTTCAGAGCACTACTCCTGAAGGAAGCTCCTCCGTAAGGGAGTTCTCAACGAATCCCTCTAACTCCGGCATCTGATCACTCTATAACCTTGTACACGTCCACTTTCCGAAAGGAGCGTGCGAACATGATTTTCAGTTACTTTTGTATCGCCACACATTTTCACTTGGGCGCATCCTGGCTGATGAGTGCCTTGTCGCCACAGAGCTCAGAACACGTTCCTGCAGGACCCCTGGGAGGTTCGAGTTTCAGTTTGAATCAGACTGCCATCTACTGGTGTAAATGTTGTAATACCATTAGCGCGATTACATTCTGTATATTGCATACGTGTGACACACACCAGTTCTCACCGTTTGATTAAAGAATAAGGAATGTGCTGTCTAAAAGAAGTAATTTGCTCCCACACTTAGTAACACGTATGTTTTCAAAGAAGAAATGGCAATGAAATAAGAAAAGATCCCCATTTGGATCCTCTAAATAATAAAATCATCATCTCCAAAAGATGGGTGTGAATTCTAGACTGTGTCCTCCGGTTGCTTTGTAAACTTTGCTTTTTATTTATTGAAAAAAAATCATATATGAAATTAGGAACTGCAGCAATATAGAGTACAATGTCAGAATGCCATTAAGGCCTATGGAAAGGGCACTGTTTTAGGAGGAAGACTAGGGTTTTTTGTTTTGTTTTGCTTTGTTTTATTCCAAGAACTTAGCCCTTCCATACGGGAAGTCACCCCTAGACTGAGCACACTTTGGAGTCCTAACCCTCTGAGCTAGCATGGTCTCTTGGCACAAAGTGGAGGAACTGTATTTTTTTTTAAAAAGCAATAGTAAAAATATTTAACCCCTCTTTATCAGGCTAACATTTTTGCCCGTTAAATAATTTCTCAAACCATTTAATAACTCCATCTTTCTACTCACTCTAAATCCCATCGCACGGTGGGTAAATTTAAATTGCACAGAGGTGGGTCTATTAAGAGAACACTTTTCTTCCTTTGCCCAAAGGCTGATCCAGATAGCACGGGATCGTTAGTGACCAAACAGATGCCCCCATCTATAACCCAGAGACAGCCCTCAGCTGGACAGAGAACCTTTCATTTCCTACGTAGAGGTGAACTCAGAACGTGTCACTGGTTTTTGCACCCTCTTAATCTTCCTGTTTATTCTGAGCTTCATTAAAGTCAATCTCCACAGGGCAGACTGTCATCTGAGCTCGGCCCGTCCTGCTGTCTGCTCTCTCCAGAGAGCATCCTTCATCCTGATAAACGGCCTGTGAGCTGAGCACATGACTGAGCTCCTTAAGGTAAATAGATTATAGAGCGATGTTCCTTCCACACTGGCTCAACAGAATTTGATAAGCAGGATCATTGACGTGGGCGTCATGGTGGAGATGATGTTTTCTGAAAGATGGGGTTTCAGATTTACCATTGTAAAATGAGATAGTGAAGTTTTTTTTTTTTCATTGTGTAATGCCATACCTTTAAGGCTGCATTAGCTAGTGTCATTCATCTGCCAAGTATCTCCCTCAGGATTTAGCATCAATTATGGGACATCTTTTGTGTGCCAGGCTCTCTGCTAGGCATTAGAGACCTACAGATACACATAGGGAGGGAAAGTGGCGGCAGTGGTGGGAGCTGGAGTGAAGCTCTCTGGGAAGCCGTGAAGCATGCCGCCATGACAACGCCGGCCCGTGGGCTCAGATTAGTGGGTGCCTGTTTGTTGGACTCACAGGCCATGCTGTCCCAGAGCAATTGTTATATCTAGATGAAAAGGCAATGCTGGGGCCTGAGACTGGTCTCTAGGCAACTCTGTTCCTCCCCTGACTCATGTTGACAGATAAAGCAACAAGCTATTCCTGGAGGAGCCAGGACTGTCCTTCCTACCTGATAAACCAAACACAGACTGGACTACGGAGAGGGCAAGTCTCATATCTCAGGCAGGGGCTGTAGAGGGGTCTTGTGTTCCTGAGCTGAGGACATCTGAGTCCGTATGGCCGCCAGCTGGCACCACAGTCACTCCCCAATACTTGGATGCTGGAACCATGTAAAAGATACCCCACATATTGTGACAAGGGTAAAGAGATGGACAGTCCCAGAAGAAGATGGAAACTTACCTCCTGGATGATTGGGGCAAGATCTATGTGGAAAGTGTTACAAGGAAGCTCACTCTCTCTTAGCTGAGAAGGGAGATAAGGTCAAGGAGGACTCCCACCCACCCTACACCCCAGTTTTCCCAAGGTTTGCATAGCAGAAATCCAAGATCCTCCTCAACAATGACAGCAACTTCTGCCTGGAAGGCTTAAAGATCAGCCCGAAGACTGGACAGCCAGACAGATGGTGTCCTGTCCTGCCAGGGGCTGCTCCCGGCTCCTGTCTTCCTCTAGTTCACTCAGTGATAAAAACCAGGAGTGAAGAGCTCCACAGACAGGACGTCGAGGGCAAGGGCTTGGTCTTCTGACCCATGCAGAGTCACCATCCTCCAGACCCGTCTGTCTCTCCCTCCTCTGAGGAATGTGATTTACAGTTCAATATTTTATTTTATTCAGTCTTATAATGCAATTATTCCTTGCATGTTGTGTGGCCACAACGAGATCACATTTGTGAGTTTCTTTGAAATGAGAGACACAGTCTCAGACATGCAGCAGGTGTCTCATACTTAACCTAACCTGGGAATCAGAAAATAAGAGCTTGTAGAAACCTTCCTGTAACAGCATAGGAAACAGATCTAGAGAATCGCTGCTTTATTTACTTCACAAGCGCCTCATTAAACTTTTGAGTCACCGTGCTGGGCGCTGTGGAGGAGACAGAGAAGGACCCAGTTCTCATGCACCTGCCAGTGACGCGTGAGAAAGAGGATGTGTGGCCTAATTACCAAAAGTGGAACCCATTAAGAAGGCAAAAATGAGCCTGAGGGATCTCGCGTGAGGAAGGTGATGGGTCAGCTGAGGAATTGAAGGGAGGGTTTGTGGAGAAGGTGGCACCTGAACCCGATGAAGGATTTGATGGGTAGGAATGGGGAAGTGTATACAAGCGGGAATGTATATTGGCCTTTGCCAAGCTTTACATCCACCTCCAAGCCAGCCCTCAGGAGTCAGCTGAGACAATTGTTGTGGTGGCTACCACCCATGCTGAGCCCCCCGAGGGCTGGCTGACACTTTCATCCCCCAAATAGGAGCGTCCCTTGATGTGACTGTCTCAGCTCTTTACTCATGAAGAGGGCTGTCTCTTCCCTCTCCTTTCTCAGTTTCACATCCCCTTCCTCCCCCAAATGCAGGGAAGCTTGCAATCTCCCTTAACCTTTGGCAGCTGGCAGGGGCTCTGACCTTGTCTTGTCCCAGCCTCAGCACAACAGACCAAGGCGCTCCTATGGGCCCAGCTCCCCACCCCCCACACGTGCTACACATTGAACACCCTGCCTTGGGCCTGGCCCTGGTTTTCACAGGGTTTAAAAGGTTTCCTTGGAGGCAGAAGGGTGGGTCGTCCACCACTCTTTGCGTCAGGGCTTGGCACTTCCCATAGAAGGAAGCCAGGCTCTTCCTGAGAAAAGCTGCAGGAGGCTAAGCAAACTCAGACCACATAGGCAAGAATCTTCTGAGCCTCTCTCTGCCAGCCAGCTCCCTGTCCACCCCGCCCCCTCATTCTTCCTTCAGCTGACTTCACTGCCCTCGCGCCTGCACAGAAGTGTCCTTTGCCCAAGACAGGATATTCTTGCTCACTCTCCTTGACTCTGCCTGTAACTGGGCTCTCTGCCCTACACCTACCCCCCCACCCCAACCCAATGCAAGGAGTAACCCCTTCAACCTCTTTCTTGCTTCTGCTCACACAGCTCTCCCTTCTGGCCATGTCCTGTGGTCAAAGAGACCAATTCTCTCTCCTTCCTATCTGCTTGCTTCCTTTTTTCTTTCCTTATTCACTTTGAGTTTAGGGGAGAGGGGAGAATCCTCAGATGCCAGGACAGCAGCATGGACTCGAAGTAACACAGAGAGGCTGGATAATTCATCTCTGTTCTTAACTCAGCATAAAAGCCCGACCCCCACAATTTCCTCTCCAATCTTCCCTCTAGACCGGGGTCTTCAGACTCCTGCCTTCACCTTAAGTGGAAACTGGATGAAAGCCCCATCAAGAGGAACTCTGAAAGTTGCATCTGGATGAAAAGGGAGCCTCTTGGACACTCCAGCAGCAGGTGAGGACCTCATGCCTTCTGATTCCTTAGACTTCTGTCTAACGGCACCAGTGGTAGGTCTGTGAGAAGAACCTCCAAGTGAGGGTTTCTCAGAGTGCCCTCTCTCTTGGCCCTGAGACGACTTCTCTTTTAGGTGTGGCCAGTTCTAATCACTATTGCTTTAGAGCTGTAATAGCCTTTTCACTTATTTTTTAAGTTCCTGGATCCCAAAATTTAGTTCAAGTAAACATTTATATACAGCAAAACATATGGTCTAGTTCTAACCCTTTGGTAGCTATGCGACTTCAAAAATTTCACCCTATTTGAGGTAGGGCAGCAAAGCAGGGCTGTGCCCAAATGTACTTTCTCCTGCCTTCCTGCTACTCCTCCCTCCCGTCAAGGGCCCATGATGGGGGCCTTGGCTCGGCCGCCCGTCCATCAGGCAATCATTGATAGTGCTGGTGCCGCTGAGTACTTTAGAACAGGCCTTGCTTAGGACTTTTTGTGGATTTGGACCAAAGGTAAGGCTAGAGGGGAGACCTCAGTGCCGTAATAAGTCCCAGAGGCCTGGTATTGGACAGTACATGTTACAACCTCTAGACCCCATTCTGAGGATGGGACAGCCCAGACCTCTGAGAACCAGTAGTCCTAGGACAACCCAGCTCCGGCCATTCGGAGGTGGCAGGGAGGTCACTGGAACATGGTTCCGCAGAACTCTTCTCTACCACCACCTTCCAGACATCGCTGGGGGTTGTGAACTGTCTTAGATAAGCTCAGAGTTAAGATTCAGGAGATAATCTCTGGCAAAAACGACATGAAACGCACATATTTATCTCTTCCAAAGTGGTTTAACACCAGTCAAAACTGAAAATAGACACAAAATAATTTTAGTTTTGAAAACTGTTCAGTGGAAGCATTGGAATGTGTGATAAAGTGTATTCTTCTCCATCTACTGAGCAAATGTTTTAGAATCTATGAACCAAGGCTATATGAGTCAGGAAGCTTTCTCCAGATTTAAGCCTTGGCTCCCTCTAGTGTCCCTGACTCCACCTTTGTTTCAGCCCTAAAATGCCTGGGACCTACCATCTCTATTCAATGAGGATTCAAAGCCCAGTTCAACTAGTCCTCTTCCTTTTACCACCCCCACCACACAGTGACCATTGATCACAGACTTCTCCCTCTATGAGCTCAGTTATCTTCTGTTGCTTGCAACTGACATTTTATTATATTCTGTTCATAAGATAGTTGTTTCATATGTATTGTTTGTCCTGCTCCCATCACAAAATTCCTGTATAGTTAACATTATATTGGTTTCAGGTGTACGATAGAGTGATCAGACCGTTGTATACATTACTCAGTGCTCGTCAACCTAAGTGTACCTTTAATCCCCTTCATCTCTTTCATCCATCCCCCCACCCACCTCCCTTCTGGCAACCATCAGTTCTCTGTATTTAAGAGATTTTTTTTTTGGTCTCTTTTTTTCCTTTGTTCGTTTGCTTTGTTTCTTCAATTCCACTTACGAGTGAAATCACATGGTGTTTGTCCTCTGCTGGTTTATTTCACTTGGCCTTAGACCCTTTAGGTCCACCCACACTTTTGTGAATACAGTTGTGTCTTTGAAATGGGAAACCTATACTATCAGGCATGCAATAGGTGCCTAATACTCTAAATGGGGAATAAGCATATTAGAGTCAGGAACAAAGCTAATATGGTGTCCCCGTCTCAAAAATGGGAAACAGACCCAGAGAACAGCTGCATCATTCACTCCACAAGTGTCCCCATGCTGGGCAACGTGGAGGAGACAAAGGTGCCGACCAGATGGGCCACCTCTCCTGCCCCTAGCAGTGAGGCATGGAAAATGACCCGTGCCCCCATCCCTAAAAGTGGAAGCCATGAGGAAGGTAAAGATAAGTCTGAGGGATCTCAGGTGAGGGAGGTGGTATATCAGCTGAGGGATTCAGGATGGTTTTATGGAGAAGGTAGCACTTGAAACTGATCTTGAAGGATTTAAACAGGTGAAAGGCATAGTGTTGTAAAAGCACATTTGGGGAAGGAAGCCTGAAGAAGAACACCAGAAACTGACTGGGATGCCTTAGAGTCCTCGGACAGCAGGCCCGGAATGCCAGCCAGGAAGCTTGCCCTCTGACCAGTAAGCAGGAAGCCCTCCTGAAGGAAGAACTTAGAAAAATGTCTAACTTCTTCTTCTTTTTTTTTTTTTTAAAGATTTTATTTATTCATTTGACAGACAGAGAGCACAAGTAGGCAGAGAGGCAGGCAGAGAGGGAGGGGAAGCAGGCTCCCTGCCAAAGCAGAGAGCCCAACGCGGGACTCGATCCCAGAATCCTGGGATCACAACCTGAGCCGAAGGCAGCAGCTTAACCCACTGAGCCACCCAGGCACCCCAATGTCTAACTTCTTGAGCATGTATTGAACTTCTGTTTAAAAAGTGAATTCTCCATCCTTGAAGGTGTTGAAGTACATGACGTGCTTTTATCTAGCCATGTACTTATGATTTCTGAGTAGGTGTGTACAGAGGATTCCTGCATGGATTGGATAATGCTAAGGTCACTTTGAATTGAGATTACCCAGTTAGGATTAGAACTGGACCTATGCTCTAGGAGACAAGGCTGTATTTCTTCTTATACTTAGTAAGTGCTCAATTAATGCTTCCTCACACAACAAATGACATGAACATACCTGTGCTTTAGGAAGAGGAATTTGGCAGCAAGTTTTAAACTAGAGCGGCAAGAAGGGAGAGACGACACACAGGGAGACTGGCTAGAACACCATTATATTTTCAAGGCCTACACCAGGTTAGTGGAAATGGGAATGGAAAGTAGATTGGCAATGTGGATGTTGAATCAAGATGACTATTTTGTCTTACTTACTTGTGACCTTCCTCGACAGATGGCAAATCCTGTGAAAGCAGAAGTACCTTATTTGACTTTATATTCCCACTGCCCAACACTGACTAGCATATAAAAGCGCGCAACATGTTTTAAATGTATTTGTGCAGTAAATGTTGACCGACTTTATGAGTAGGTGGTTGTGATGGTGTTACTTGAGGGGCCCTGGATGTCCCAGCGGCTGGACAAGGGGCAGCCAGGATCTCTGGATCTGAGCCCAGGACTTGGGTGGTCCTGGTCCTGGGGCAGAGGAGACTCAGACAGTAGCTGCCCCTCTTTCCTCACTCTGCAGTCTCTGTGACCCATGCCAGGCAGGCCCTCATCCTCACAACTTCATCATGTTTGGGTCCTTTCCACCCTTTTTGCCCTTGTCTCCCCTCTCTTGTTTTACTTCTCATCAGGATTTGACACAGCTGACCATTTTATTCTTGGAATATTCCTTTCACGTCCACGACATGATTTTCTTCCTGTCTTGCTGATGATTCACTTTATTCTGGTCATTCTGGCTTAAAATCCTCTTCCCAGTTTTTAAGTCAATGGTTCTCAGCCTTAGTTGCACACTAGAATCTCAGGAAGCTCTTTATTTTAATTTATTTTAAAGATTTTAGTTGTCCGAGAGAGAGACAGCATAAGCAGGGAGAGCAGCAGGCAGAGAGAGTAGCAGGCTCCCTGCTAAGCAAGGAGTCTGATGCGGGACTCGATCCCAGGACCCCAGGATCATGACCTGAGCCCAAGGTAGACGCTTAACTGACTGAGCCACCCAGGCATCCCATGGGAAGCTTTAAATCTCTTGATACAACTCGAGCTGCCCCACAAAACCAATTAAATTAAAATCTTTGAGGGGTGGATCCAGGTTCAATATTAATTTAAAGCTCTCCTAATGATTCCAGTGTTGTAAACCACTGTTGCAAGTATTAGTGTTCCACGGAGCTTCGTCTTAAATCTCTTCCTGTCTTTAGCTATACCCCTCTGTGCATGGGTTTTAAGAGCCTCTTTATTATGTTGACCTATACTTCTAGCTCCAACTTCTCCTCTGAACTATAAACTCACATGTAGAACTGCCTATTCGAGATCTCCACTAGGATACAGACATCTCAGATTTAACAGGTGCAAATGGAAATTTTGACTCTTGTTAAAAGTGACTCTTGTTAAAATCCCCCATCTCAGTTGATAGTATCATTTGTCCAGTCGTTCTGGCAAAGACCACTTGACAGCTATCTTTGACTCCTTTGTTGCTTTCTCCCCTCCTCTCCCCCTCCATCACATCCATGCCCACTCCTGCCCACCCCTTCCCCCTCCCCCCCCAACCCCCCCCCCTGGTGTTCCATCCCCCCCCCCCCCACCCCCCAATCCTGGGGTCCAGTCCACCACAACCCCAAACCCACCTCCACACCCAATTCACACCCCCCCCACCCCACGTCGAATCCACCTCTGTGTCCTGCTAGTTTTATTTCTAGAATCCATTCTAGACCCAACCACTTCCCTCCACCTTTCTCAACCCCCTCCCTTACAGTCTTTTCCTCATACAGCTCTTGGAGGGATCTTGGAGAACATAAATCCTATCCTATTCCTTCATCCTGAAAAAGGTGTCTTGTGGTTTCCTATGACATTTAATACAAAATTCAAGCTCTTGACTTTGGCCTCCAAAGTTCTGCACGATGTGCTCCCTTCCTGCTACTCTTACCACTTTCTCATGCTCCCTTCATTTGCTCTGCTCCTGCTACACACTATTTTTGCTGTTTGCAGAACACAGCTTTTGGCTAGGATACTCTTCACCTAAGTCTTCCTATGGTTTGATGATGACCATTCAACCTGTGCTCACATCTTACCTCTTCAGAAAGGTTTTTACTGACCTAGTCCCTTCAGGCGAAAAGATCACCGTGGTCCCCATCTGAACCTTGCTTTATTCTCTTATTAGCTGAAATGTTTACTTGTGTTCATTTCTCTGCTCTCCTCCCGCCCCCAGTAGAAAGCGGGGACCTTGTCTGTTTTGTTGCCAGCTTGTCTGCTGGCTCTCTGGCACTTGGTAGGTTCTCAATAATTATTTGTTGAATGAATTGTTAAATCCAGAATTGAAATTCAAACTGCTAGTGAAGCCGACTGTCCTAGCAGATC